CAACGTTGATCTTTTGAGCCTCTGAGTCGTAGACAGTGAGAGCTGCGACGACTTGGCCGGGGCGGAATTTGGTAGATTTGGGGCCATTAGCGCTGACGCGACCGATAAAGCAGTAGCCTGGTGTCAGTGGTGCGCTCTTTTGCATGGGGTATGTGCCCATTCGCATTTGGATGTCGGCGCCGGAAAAGCCAGAGTAGATGACATCGCATTGGACTTGGTATTTTGAGGGAGGAGCTATTTGGGCTGTAACGACGCTCACGTTGGAAGGGCCGCCAAAGGCAGAGTAGACGACTTTGCGGATGGTATGAGTGGTCATTTTGGGTCTAAATTTGGATATGTGAAGGGATAGAATGTGTGTATTAAATGTGCTGCGAATGGCTGTACTGTTCAAAAAAACAATTCCATCCTTGGCGAGGATTCTTGATTTATTTATCTCGAGTCAAGATGGCAACTCAACAATGCCTTTGCCTCTCATCATGCTCATCTTCATTGTCAAATTGTTGTCGCTCTTTTCTCGCTCTCTGGTCAGCCAATTAAAGACCTCGCTCTTCGCTCCACTGTCTCGTCCCTCGCTCATCTTCGCGCGAGGAAGAGAGAGAAAGAACCCACAAATGCGCGCAAAACGAGTGGTCAACTGTCATGTCTTTATTATGGGTCGGATTTCTGTGCTGACTGTTTGCTTGTCTCCAGGATGAACAATTGGTCCGACTCGGCCCTGTAATTAGCTGCTGCCTGTTGTTGATGGGGCCTTGAGTCATGTTTTCTTCCTGGGTCTGAGGTCATGACTTAGAACTCACGATGCAGACCTTGGGGCCAATTCGGAAGCATCTTATATTTGACACTCACTACTTAGATTTCTTGATTGTGAAAGGTAACGTCATGTCGTTGAAGCTTTCCAATCCACCTCTTCGCATTTTATGTGAGATTGATATGTACGCTGTAGACCCATACTTGACTCGTGCACGGTATGTTGTTGGTTGGGTCGTCTCGTAAAATCACGCGGGTCGCTAAGGAAAAGCGTGAATGGGGTATCGATAAATAAATAGAAACCGAATTCCTCTTTTTCATTTGTTATACACACCGATCTCTGCTTCGCTGTAACCATGTTGCCCTCTCGCGAATCAGGATCCTCTACACGTATATCTGCTGAGGATATGCTGGAGGATGAACCCTCATCACCCATCTTTTACCTAGAAACGCCAGAGCCAGATGACGAACCACCGTCATCGCCTCTCATTGTCATAGGTGGAACCTCGCCATACCGCCGAAGATTCTATCAAACATCAGACCTCGAGGATTTCTTCCATGGAGCCTTCCTTGCTTGCATTAGAGAGATGGACGATCCCTTGCCTAGCTTAGAAGAGATCAAGAACAAGTATACCGAGTCCCTTGTCGTCACCATCGATCATGAGGAGAGGTATCGGGAACCTTGGTACAGTATCGAAGAATGTTGGGATAAGAGGTTAACTGAAGGTCCCCCAGTAAGTGGTTATGCGTCAATAGTCGTGCAAGAATGGATCGTGGTTACTGATGTGTGTTGCAGAAGAAAGATGGAATTTTGATGTTACCAGGATATGGGCTCCCGCTAAGTCATGGGATCACAAGCAAAAATCGTCAGCCGTTTCTTTTGGGACTCGACCCTGGAGACTGGCATGCGCGAACATTGACGAATCGCGAAGTGTGTATGCTCGAGCTGATTGAAGCCATCACGAATAAACCTGAATGGTGGATCAAGGTACGGGACCAAGAGATTGTGGCTAAGTGGAAGCAAGAGGCCCTTCAGGCGCCTTGGGAGAGTTTTCAAAAGAATGCCGACTTCACAGAAGAGATGGCACAAAAGGTACGCAAATACCATGTTCACTGGAGCGTGATCCTTCACTAACAATTTATAGTGTTTTGACGAATTAGTGGCGAAGGCGCGGCTGTACGAGGAAACCTCCTTAATTCCCGTCATGGATTACTCCGCATGTGTAGTCAAATCAGACAAGCTCTTAACGTCTCAACTGACAGAGAAACTTAAAGCTGCTGTGTCATCACTCGAAGACGTCCCTGAGTCCTGTCGAGACTGGCACCCAGGTAGCGATGAGAAAGTCCTTGACTTGGTTCATCCGTCGCTTTGGCCGCTGATTTATGGGAAATCACAGATCGTTGCCGACGAGTACATTCCACTCAACCAATGCCTTGAATTTTGTGGTGGGGGTACAACTATTCCCATACCCTCGAGGCCACGCCTAGCCAGATTGCGAGAGTATTCAGGTATCACAAGGGATCGCGATTTGTCAGAAAAACTTGCATTGTCAACAGCATTTCAGTGGCTCCCTTGCGACGTTGATATCACAGGGAGGATGCCACGGATTATGAGTTATATCAACAATCTTCACCCCGTCCGACATGCCGATCTATATCTTGTCATTGAGGAATTAATAGAAAAAGCTCTGCCTGCTTGGGATCTTGTGTGTCGCTCGACATCCCGACGCAGCAACTTTCAGCGATTGGAGGAGATTTTCGAGGTCGAGCGAGAGTCCCGTACAGTTGAGTACTGTGGACCACCTCGTGGGCGTATGTACCACTGCCATCCAGGAAAGGTACCGAGAGAGATACTCGAACAACACATGAACATTAATGCGGATGATCATGACTTGCGTGACAAGCCTGGCTATGATGAAACCGCAGCTGCGTGGTTCAAAGAAACACACCCGGTTAAACTTCCAAATGTCGCAAAGCGAAGTTATCCCCTTGATGCCAGCTCCATAAAAACTCAAGACTTCTTCGACAACATGTCTCGTATTCAAGTCATTATCAAGCTGGCTAATATTCATCTAACGCCCGAGAAACCACAATACGACGGCGGATCGTGGCATGTCGAAGGTCAATTCAATGAGCATATTTGCGCCACGGCATTATATTATTATGATTGCGAGAACGTCACAGATTCGTATCTTGCGTTCAGAACGTGGGCAGATGGAGATGACTTGAGCGATGAGCTGCATCACGAACAATACGACTATGCCGGCATTGAGCAGATCTTTGCAATAAAGGCCAATGACGGAGACAAGATGCAACGAATTGGAAGCGTTCTCACTCGTGAAGGTCGCGCTTTGATCTTCCCAAATGTATACCAGCACCAAGTTCAACCCTTTGAGCTGCAGGATAAAACTCGTCCCGGACATCGCAAGATCGTCGCACTATTTCTTGTTGACCCAAATATCCCCATCATTTCGACTGGCAACGTGGCTCCGCAACAGAAGGACTGGTGGACAGAGAAGGTGATGCGAACTGAACCGCTGAGGTTGTTCCCGAATGAGATCAAGGATATGATTACTAAAGAAGTCACTTATCCAATTGGCTTAGAAGAGGCAAAGGTAATAAGAGAGAAACTCATGCGGGAACGAAAGAAGGACAAAGTAAGTATAAGAAGCTACGGGTCGAACGAATGGTCCTTCTGTGAGCACTAATGATCTACACACTGGACAGCAGAAGGATTGCTATGGTGCCAGGTGGGTGTCAAAGACATCGAAGTAGCCAAAGAGTCGACCCAAAATAACCAAACTATTTTTTTTTCCTATGCTCTCAGCGATCAAACTTTCTGATGGCCTTACTGGTAAGATTCAAATCCATGTGAGAAAACTTGATCCATATCTTGCTGTGCCCTTACTCATTTACCTGCTGCTCGAACCAAATCACCAAACCTACTTCCAAGCTTTGGTGCCAGCTTCTCAGGAACACCCACTTCAACAACCTCCCCCGAATCCATGACAACGACTGTATCAAAGTCCATGATCATGTCGAGCCTATGGCTGACTGCTACCACTGTGTAGTTCCTGAATTCTGTCCTTATGATCTCCTGCATGACTCGCTCAGTCTCATGATCAACACTTGAGCTGACCTCGTCCAGAAGCAATATACCGCTGTCTGTAGCATTTCCCGCAAGACCTGTGTTTCGAGCTCGGACTCGGCGTCGTAGTAGTACTCGACCCAATGAAAGAAGTTGACGTTGCCCCGCGCTGAGTGAATCGGCACTCATTCCTGAGTCCAGCCCGCCTAGTCCATGAACGAAATGCCACAAGCCAACTGTGCTTAGCACGGACTGACACTCTTCATGGGTTGATTCATTTAAAGGATCCAAGTTTAGCTTAAACGTAGTTCCGTCAGGTAAGAAGACGGCTTCTTGAGGTACGGCTAGAATGCGTTGCCGGAGGGCTGGTCGGTCGATCTGACTGAGTGGTATACCATCAATGATGACTTCGCCACCATTGCTGGATAAAGGGTCGAGTAGCTTCAGAAGAAGTGCGACAAGACTGGATTTACCGCTACCAGTGCGCCCACAAATGGCAACCTTCTCGCCGGGTTTGATCTTGAGGTTGATGTTGCGTAGGGCAATCTTTGCCACCTCATCGGTATCGGAAGGACTAAAAAATAATTAAATATGTCTAAAAGCTTTGGAGAAGGGCAAACTAGATACTTACTCATAGCTTGCGAACACATCTCTGATCATGAGTGCACCATCGTGTGGCCATTGCTCATCAGGAACACAAACCTCCTCTTCCTTATTCTCAGGCTTCACCTTTTCATTGAAAGCCTTGAGCCGTGCTACAGCTCCAATTGAGGTCTCAAGCTTTGTCCACCAGGTGATAATCCCCGAAAGACTTTCTCCAAAGTTCATAAGAGTGACCAAAGCTGCACCCGTGAAAGCAGTGTTGGAGTGGAGTCGGACCGCAAGGGTGGTCAAAATTGCAGCGATAGCCATGACGATGAGATTCAAAACGAGGTTGAGCCATTGCTGGATCATGATCAAGAGGTATGCTGGGCGCTGGCTGGAGTCGACAAGGTGCACATTCTTTTCGACATCTTGTGAGATGAAGCCTGGAGGAACCATGTTAGCAGTTGAGATTGGTCTTATCTTTCAATACATGAGCCATGTCTGTTTGTCCATCCAGCTCCGATCCAAAAAGGGAAGCTAGATGAGCCCATGAAAATATATCAAAAAAGCAAAAGAGAAATGTCAAGATTGGGATTCGAACCCAAGAATCTTTCGATACTGCAGAATACCCAGGTAACCGGATAAGACCAAGTCTTGAATGCAGCGCCTTAGACCACTCGGCCATCTTGACATGCTAATCGTTGAAGAAGCAATCAACTTTACGGAACATGGTGGCTGCCCGCCAATTTACTTACCAAAAGCTCGCAGAGTCGCAATACCCTTGCGCGTATCCAGAAAATGTGTGCTAGCAAACATTAGCCAGAACTCAGCATTAATTAATGATACTTACTAGAGAGGACTCTTAGTTTCTAGATCCAACAGTCGCAATTGACGCGATGTTCGAAGGTAGAATTTTTGAACGACCCAAAGCAATGCAATCAAGAAAGGATAGCTAATGGCGATGAATGGCGAGGAAGTCACCATCACCGCAGCTTGACCCAATGCTTGAGCGACCTGTCATTTATATATTAGAGCCACGAGATCTCAATGGGTGGTCTTGGATTGACTTACAGAAAACAGAGTAGACAGAAGCGCTGATGGAAGCTCCGTGTCGACCAAGTTCAAGTCCTGCGAAAACAGATTGGTCACGACGCCGGTGTCTGTAGTTGTGAAGAAGCGAAGTGGTGCCTGGATTAGTGTCTGCAGAGCATCGTGATGAAGGCTCGCTCCAGCTCTTTTTACGAAGATGATGAAGATGCAGATACCAAGTAGGAGAAGTGAGAAAAGGCCGCACAGGTTCAGCAGAGCATAGATACCGGCGTGATAACCGTAAGCATGCGCAGGAGTGCTCGAGTACACGTCATCGGTCCAGAATTTGAGCCCTAAAGATGGTTAGCATGTTTCATTTCTTGGTTTGAGATATCTCAGACTCACAGATCGTTGGGAAATTCGTAAAGAACCCCCAGAGCGAAGCAAAGAACAAGCTGAGGACTACAAAGATAGGACCGACGCTCTTGGTATAATGTCCATAAACGCTACGATCACCATGTTGGCGCGACCCATCTTCATCAGCGGTGACAGACAGAAGACTCTGAGCTGGCGCGACACAGACTTCGAACTTGGCAGTCTCGGAGCGATCCTCAGAAGCGCGTCTCTCCGAAGTAATATCACTGTCGGAAGAACTCTTTAGACCTATCGAATGAACATACCCCGGACGCGATATCAACTCGGCAAAAGATCCTTGCTCGACAATCGTACCGTTACCTAACGCTACGATGTGGTCGGCAGCCGGCAGATGTCTGACACTATGCGTACATAGAACAACGGTTGTTCCACGCTGTCTCAGAAGCCCTTCGGGTCCAAAGACACGACGGAATACCTGCTCCTCGGTATCTGCGTCTAAGCCACTGAAGATATCGTCTAGAATCAAGAGGTCGGTCTGTAGGTACAAAGCTCGAGCAAGAGACACGCGCTGCTTTTGACCACCGGACAAAGTGATACCGTCGGAGCCAATGCAGGTTTGGTCGCCCTGTTCCAGCGTTGGAAAGTCATAACCGAGTACCGTAGCGTTAATGACTGCAGAGTATCGTTCGGGATCAAATGAAGAAAAGCCAATGATGTTGTCTCTGATTGTGCCGTTGGAGAGAAATGCTGTTTGGTCGCAAAACCCAACGTGGGGTGATCGGGTACCTAGTGACACGCTGCCCTTTCGATAAGGGATTTCGCCGAGGAGTGCTTTGCTTAGAGTTGACTTGCCTGCGCCTACTGCCCCAACAACTATCGTGAGAGAAGACTTTGCTATGCCCAAGTTGACGTCTTCCAATGCGAAGTCGTTCTCCTTCCAACCGAATGACCCACCAGTGACAGTGATGGAATTTCGCATGTGCTCGTTAGAAGCGGATGATGGGGTTGTGTTGTTGGTAGACGACTCCTCCAAAGCCGCATCTGTGAGGAATCGACGGTAATCAGAACGGGTCTCGCATTCGAGGAAGGACTGAATTCGCCCCAAACATGCCACAGCTGACATCAACTGAGGAACCATCTGGAAGATGTCCGATAGAGGGGTTGTCAAAAGTAGCAGGTAAGCCAGACTGGTAAACATCCGTGTCGCATCCAGCTCCTTCTGAGCAAACGCCAATGTCAACGGGGGACTGAGCAACAGAGGAATGAAGCCAAGAAGCGCTGCAATGATATAGATCGTGCGAAACTTTGCTCCAGCAGCCAACTCATCAACCCTCAGCTTCTGCAAAAACGCAGTGACTGGACCAGCAAGGCCTGACATCTTGATGTTCTTCATACTGCTGATAACAGTAGCAGTGAGACCAACACGCTTCTGAACTCCGTTCATCCACGCTCTTTGCGAGTCACCGGCAAAGTTCATAACCAGCATCAGACATGCGACACAGACGCCGACTACCGCCATTGGTGCGACGAAAACGATGCCGAGTTGGCTGTGGAGCATGTATCCTGCCAGAGCGACTTGAATGATTGCAGCCCAGATGTCGTGGAGTGGGATCAGGCCCATGTGAATGCGCTCGATGTCTGTACTCATGAGGGTGAGTCCGGCGTTGTCGTCGCTGACTCCGATACGAGACTGGGTAGCCTTGATATAGGTCTCGATTACCAATATTGAACGGGTCATGGTACGCAGTCGGTTGTGAAAGTACCTGTTCACCTAGCGTTAACGCAGCCTTGAATGCCCCCCATAACTGACTTACCAGCAAAGTGCCCAAGAAATCGCAATACCGGAGTAGATCAGAACACTCGCAGCAATGAGACCATATCCGATCTTGTTACTGATCTTGGGTTCGGACAAGTGAGCCAACAGTCTCTCGATAAAAAGCGGTTGGCAAAAGGTAAAACCTAGAAGCGCCAAACGTGGAAGAACTGGTAGAAGTAGAGGAATCTTCAGTGTGCGGATTAATACCTTAACCAATCCCAACTTGCTAGCCTTGAGCTTCGAGTAGTCCATGTGCTTAGAGAACTCCTCGTGCAAGAGCTTGCCATGAAGCGACGTATCAAGGGGAAACAGATCCTCAAGTCGTAGCACCTTACGGTACCCTTCCAGAAAGATCTTGTTCAGCCAGAAGAAGACTCCGAGAGAGAAGATGCCGCTCGTTTCTTCCGGACTTCGCTCCTTTTCGTTCCAAACCACATACTTTGTCTTTCGTTGAGCTTCAAGTAGCAAAATGGCGAGCTTGAGAGCGATTGTCGCAGTGAAAATACTGCTGTAAGTTAATTCTGGTTTTATCGTCCAAGTTAAAAATAATGTTCTTGCTTGGACGGCATCGAAAAGCAGCGTCAGGAATAAGTAGCTGTTGAGCAGAACAGATGGTCGCAGACTCTTGCGGTGGTCAATCAGGCTCAGAAGGGCCATCAATAGAGCCGAAACAAGTTTGAGAACGGAAGAGGCTATAAAAATGCCAGTGGCTTGGAAAGTACCCAGAGTGACGAGAATGACGAGCGATAGTTCTAGGCAGATGTACGTCGCAATTGAGGTCTGTCGGACCGTGGTTAGTATGGCATCAATTAGCAGTGCATCAAAGTCGTACCAGTTTAATGAGCTGGAACACGGGAGCTTCAACCACAGTGGGCTTTCTAGCCTGGCTGAGCGAACGCCATATGGAAAAGACAATGAAAAAAGTTGAAGGAATGATGGAGAAGAACAATTGTTCAAATTGAACACTAAAGTCAAAGCCTGGTTCGTTCAGTTCAAGCAAGTCGCTCTGCCCGCTGAAAGAAGCCATCTTAGGCCTGGAACTACAGGGGTGGCGTGCACTGTAAGGTTAGAGTACGCACTGCAATCTCCAACTCCTCAGGATGTACGAATCTCACAGATGCGAAAACTGGGCGGATGAAGCAATTAAATGCAACCGCATCCCATCTTCAAACATAAGCGAGATCAGTTTCCCAAGTAGGAAGCTGCTTCAAAAAGCTGTTGGTTCAGTTGTTGGTAAGCTTGTAAGGCATGTTTGTTGGTCTTCCAGTGGTTGATGCCCCTGTAGTATGCAGTCGGGGTTCAATTCCACCGACTGCATAGCCTCTTCCAAAAGTTCCATGCCATGGAATGACAGGTAATCGCAGCTCGCACCATCTGATAAGCCTTGATCTAAGGCGGAAACAAGAGGGGAATGGCTCAGATGGTTCGCAATTAAGATCCGAGCTACTGGTTCTTTTGCCCCGGACTTTCTGTTCTGCAGCCCTTTCTTGTTTCCCATCGTATCACATTCCATGCTCCTACACCAACACAATTAAACTGCTGCAGGTTGAAGAAATTGACAAAGATAATTAATTTTGTTTTGCATTTTCTTATTTACATTATCATTCTGTATAAGAATTGCACAATGTTCTACAAAGAGTTCCGTATCTGCCGCTTGGTCAGTTACTCTTGCCTCAGCGTATCAATGAGCGTTGTTCTTCTTCTGAGACCAACCTCGAAGGGCTTCAGCATTGCCCTCAGCGCGTGTACAAGGCCTTCATATCGCTCTCCTAAACTGTCAGTGGCACTTCCCAGATACGAACACCATCAAAGTCAAGACTAGCCATTCTCAACACATCCTTGGAGCGATCCTCCCATGCGACCATGCCGCGCCCTCCTTCGCTCGTGACTTTCCCATTCTCATCCCTCCATTTCTCCGCCTCCGGTCCATCGTCTGTCCCGCCCCTGGGAAATCTCCATTTCACCTCTTCTTTCAAATCATAAACTTCGATACTACTATCACCCTGCGTGCAGACTGCCAGTTTGTTACCGCTGTCAAAGAACTGCACTTTCTGCGCAACCAACATCCTCTTCATCATGTCGCGATACACCTCGTCCCTTGTGCAAGCGTCTGTGGACAATACCCTCTTCTGTATCTGCTTTTTCTCTACCACGTCCAGGATAAAAACCTCCCCAAGTCTTTCTCCGCCAACGGCAAGCCATTGGTTGTTTGGGTGCCAATTCACGCTTCGTCTCCAGCCATTACCTTTTTGACCTTCGTACATCCAATGCAATTCGCCTGAAGGCAGTGAAAAGATTCTCACGTGCCCTTGTCCATTCGTTGCCGCAAAGTAACTCATGTCAGAACTGAAGCCGCCTGTCCAGTTCTGAGTTTCAGTCGTGAAACAATGTTTCTGGTCCCCTGTGTGAGCATCCCAGATACGAATAGTAGTGTCCCATGAGATGGAAGCAAAGAGGCTCTCGTCTGGGCT